CAATTCACAGTTGATTAGAGTCTCTAGAACTTTACCAAAAAGATGTAGAAGGCTAATACATTGTTCTATTAGAATGTATTTTTCTCTATCAGTAGAAGTGTTCATTTAAAAATATGAATTATTTTTTTAATTGCAAACATTTTAAAACAAAAAATTATACAAAACCAGCTTTGGATGTAAAGCAATTTATTCAAGTTCAGATTACAACTTTGTAAATAAATTAAAAAGAAATTGGTATGAGTCTATTAAATCATAATATTAACAAAATAATTATCACCTAATGAAAAATTTGAAAGGGCAATGTTTGAATGGTGTCATATTGCATACAGGTGCATTTCAAAAAGATCTTGACAATAATTGCACAATCATTGATAGTTTTGGAAATGGGATGTCAACAAACACTGGCCCAGGTCCCAATTAAAAGATCATAAAACAAATTTGAATATTAACTGTCTATTTTCTTAAATTTTATTGCAGTTATTTTAAAATTTAACATTTAGTAATTGTCTTTATTACTAGAATAGGATTACATGACAATATGAGTAAAGGGTTGTATTACCATGTAAAATTTTTGCCACATTCAAATATGTTATAATTCATGTACTTGCCTTTGATAATCAATAATTGTGATATTTAATAATTTGGTTATACAATATTTAAATGCTAAAAGACATAAAATTTCAAAAAAAGAAGGAAATTACCACTTTTCACATTATGGTATCATTTGAAAATTGACCTTTTTTTTAACACTGATACATTTTCTGCAGCAAAATAATGAATAGCAGTAGCAAATAAATAAACGTACACATTATATGTGTACACATACATATATATATATATATACAGTATATTTGGGACATTTAACATTTTTTTTTACACCAGATTCACAACCTTTTCATTACATGTAGAGCCATTTTGAGAACTGATCATCAATTTCATTTACCCTGAAAAAACTATTTCTCAATGGGGCTAACAATGCGAGTTACCTTGCAGTTTTGCATGCAAACAGCAGCAGAGGTATGGGGGCAAATGTAGTTGATTGAAATAGGCTGTTGAATATTTTGGGTAAATATTGTACTAGAATGCACTTTCTCTGTTAGGAAGAGATTATATTTAAGAGTAACTGTACTTTGAATATTCCCTTTAACTAATCTTGGAATCTTTTATTCAATTGGTGTTATGAGATGAGATGTTATTGAAATTAGTTTCAATGTCAAAATTATATTTTATAGTTCCAGCTCCTTCAGGGCTTTAGTTTAGAGGTTATTACAGAGATCCAAAGTCAGGTTTTTAGAAAAAGAAAATACAATAAAAATCTCAGAATTAATTATACCTGTAATAGTTTTATTCTATCTTTAATTCTTGAGTATTGAAAAATCCATTTCTTTTCAATTTTCAATGCACAACATATGGACTGAGGGTCAAACTTTGCTCAATCCAGCATGTTGAAATGACAGTTAAAAAAATTACAAACTTTAGGGATTATACCAGCTAATTTTACTCTTAAGCACAAATGTTATAATGTTGAGTTTCATTTATTCAAAGTCCCAATGAATATATCTTCACCTTACTTCTTGCCCCAAGACCAACAATCAACATCAGTAGACTAATATAAGTTCTTCTAAGTGGTGGCAATGGAAAATAGTACACAGAATATATTTAGCTATGTACACTCCTATTATGTGTAATTTTTCTAACAAAGGATATACACCTATAAATGATCATCTTTTTGAATTATTAATATGTTCACCTACTAAAAATATTATGCAAAGTCTTAAATATGCTATTGGTATTTGCTGTGTCAGTGTGCATGTAATTATTAGAGTGAATGAAGGCTTTGGCATAATTATTTAAACAACATAGTTTACATAAACAGTTTAAAATAGAAAAAAATTGATAATTAAGTTGGCCTGCATTACATAATTACATAAAAAGCATTGTAATGATTTCAAATACTTGTAGCTGGCAAGGAAAAAGATTATTTAATAGCTTAATATCATTTGGTATTCATATTAAAAATGCTGGTGGCAAAGTGCATTTGTTATTTTCCTTTAGAAAACAATATTTACAAAATAAATTTCATTTTTGATTTTTATTTGTCTAGTTTACTATGGACAAATAGAAATAAGTATCTGAAAAAGGAGAGACTTTACTCATTAAAATAAAAGATGAAACATCTCATGGAGACATAAAAAGGAATGATTATAATTCCCTATGCATATCAAGTTATTAAATTCAACTTTATAGAATACTTACTTATATCATTCATCAATCATAAATGTTTAAGGTTGCATTAATAAATATACTTTGGACTTATAGGGGATTAAAGACTTATCTTGAATAAGTAATTTGTTAATTAATAGCTTTTTTTCATTATTAAGTCATTTATTATCAACAGAGATCATACATATAAAAATCAGCATAAAATAGTATAGAATGTTCGCAAATTAATAAGAAATTAAATTTTAAAAAATATCATTAAATTTAAAAATAGAACGTTACTTTGCAAATAGCTTTTTGGCCTATATATATATATATATATATATATATATATATATATATATATATATATATATATATGAAAATGATATGAAAATTTTTATGTGCCAGAATAGTGTTAGGAAAATCAATAATAAATTGTAAGAAAAACTTTTCATGAGACGCGTTTCAGACTTTAGGATTTCACTGTACTAAAGTGATGATTATGCTGATGTGACTACACATGCATATGAAGGAGGGGGATGCTGAGATTCTAAAACTATTAATTTGATGAAGTTCTAAAGATGAAACATGAATTTTTTTTTCCATATATATATATATATATATATATATATATGTATACACATACACACACACACTTTCCAAAAACTGATCAAATGACCAAAAACAAAATTTGTTGTTGTTGTTGGGGATGGAGCTCTTTGATTTATATATAAGAGCACAATAGACTACAAAAAAGTAAGACATTAAATGTTGGAGTTCAGGTAACTGTTTCAAAATTGACATTGGCTTCTAGAACCTATCCTAGTAAAATTAAGAAAGGCATATATTTTAAGAACAGTTATATCATTGCATTATAATCCAAAGAAAATTTCCTTCTTCCTTTTTGAAGAATGACAATGTATTTGTATCTGTGTGACAGATAAAGTGAGTGTATGTGCGAAAGAAAGAGATAGAGCATGAAGGATAATATGTTACAGAAAGCATGGATTTAGATGAAATAGCTGCCATCTTTTTGTCTATGCTACAGAGATTGACTAGTTCAATATGTTTCTTTCTTTTAGTCTGGATCCTAGGCTTTGAGTTGCATCTAGTATACAGGTGATAAAAGTTACTTGATCATAGGCCAGACTGAGAGATCCTCCTGCAGGTTATTACAAGACCCTTTTTTTTAGATTAATTATAGCTGCCCTAACAGATTGGGTCCATGCAAGCATGCATATATATATATATATATCACACACATATGTCTGTATGATGTGGGTGCCTGTTGCAGTGTAATAGTTAACAAACCATCCGATTAGTGTAATGAGTTCAATCCCCACTGGATACTTCACTGCCATGATATTGTGCCAGACTAAATGAAGTTTAATAAAAATGAGCTTGTATGAACAAATTATCTCTATTTTTCTTGATATAAAATTTGGAAAGATTATGATTATAGTCAAACTTTTGATATTGATGTGCATCTTTCATTATGAGCAACAGGTTAAAATATTTAAAAGTTAACTAGATAAAAAAAAAATGTTTAATAAGTTTGACATTGTGTTGTGTTAGTTGGAGGACAAGAAATGCCACTTAAATAGATTTATTTTTATGGCAACCTAAAATAATTTAATGCGTGCATTCTTTTGAACTTTACTATGATAATATGTGTAGATATATATATATAGATCTTTACTGATGAGGTGAACAACATTCCGGCTAATGTTTCCTCAGCTAAACAATACAGCTGAAATTAATTAAATTTATTTCATACAGTTGTATAAGTTCAAGATATTTTTTTCACTTTTGGGTGCAAAACATACGATCAATTTAGAAAGTACATTTATATTTTTAAAGGAGATTCATGGAAAAAAACTTTCTTTTTCCTTTTTTTTTTTTTGCATTTCTCTAAAAAATTAAATTGTATAACTAACTTTTTAACACTCTGAATGCTTTTGAAGCAATCCATTTCCAGAAGGTTCTGGGCCATTATCTTATGAGAAGTGAGGATAAATTGGACATAATTATCCTGTTAAAAGAAGTATAATACCCAAATGTAATTTTATGAAAATTTAGAGTGGGTATGTATGGTACTGTATTGTTTTTTTATTTTTTATTTTAGGGACAATTGCTGGACACTGCATGATTCTAGCACTTGACACTTGGAGGGAAAGAGTCATACACATTTCTTTGGAGTTCAGAAATATATTTCCATCTATTTAATATTCAGTTCATTTATATCTGTAAGTAAACTGGATGAAATGTTACAAAAAACAAAATTGGGATGATAATGAAATTTGGGAAAATGAAAGCCCTAAAAAACATCTCATCTCACAAAATCCCAAACACATAATCTGTTAATTATGAGGAGTTTTTTTTAAATAACCAATAAACATTACAAAGTAAATGACTAGAAATTATTTTGCTATACTTGATTATTTCCACATGTCGTATTTTTAATGCATTGAATATAAATATGTAGAACAATAAAGTAGACAATAATGCATCTATGACTAATACCCACCACTGGCCACTTTATTTTTTATCTGTTTGCATTCTAAGCATTAATCAAAAATACATTAAAAAAATTTAATCAAATATAATGAAATTTATTTTTTATTTCATCAATTTGTAATATTCTAGTTTCAAGTTAGCCAAAAATTTGGAAGAAAAATGAAAAGCATGTCACTTGAGGGAAATATAAATTAGCCCAGATATATATTGAGGTCAGTGGTTGTATCTTGTAAGACTCACTCAATTTGTGACAATGTCTTGTCAGAATCCTTCTGGTATCTTTATATGGCCTCTCTTGGCATCAGACTTCGGTTAGGGTTGACTGGAACCACAACACGGTGACGACGCTCTAAATGAAAAGATAAATCTTTTAATGAAAAAACTACTTGGTAAGTGCACAGAATTATTTAAAACTTCAAAGTTCACCACTTACTTACCAGTAAATGAAAATTCAGTGAAATGTAATTGGATAGCGTTATTCATTTGTTATGAGAAGGATCATTACAATTTCATTATCAGCACACTAAAATGTATATTATAAATTGATGGAATTGCCACTCTTTTCAAAGCCACTTCATAATCAGTTTTGGCATGATTGAATACACCATTATCTTCTGCCACTATAAACAGGAATATGCCTAAAGATAGTGGGAAGATGATTAGATGCTCTATTCAAATACACTGGATTATTTTCTTTTTCTTTATACAACTGTCAAATCATTTTTGTAAAATCCAAAACAATGTCCAGAAAATTCACCTCTTTCTAGTTTGTACTTATTTTGACTGAAAACATCAGATCTTTAAAAATTCTTGTTTTCATTTTCTAATAAGGGCTGCATTCCTTCCATTACAGCTCTTAAGTATCATTAAACCATTATCTCTGTATAAACTGGTTTCTTTTTATCACCCATCTGTGATAATCTGGAAAAAAATCAACATTTTTATCAACTCACAAACTTCAGCACCTTCATAATTTTCCATAGTAACATCAAAGTTTCATCAATCTTTTTCACTAACATTTCATCCTTATAAAACACTGAAAATCTATGGCAATGCCGAATAATTCATTTGCCACTCACTAATATCTGTGTCAACATATTCTCATTAAATGATGCATAATAATGTTTAAAATCAACCTGCAAAAATGCTGTTGATATTCTTGAAGCAATTTATGGTAGTTTTTGTATTTCTCCACTAATTTATCTGCAGTGTTCATGAAGTACAGTACTAATACTATTCAAAATATGCTTCTTAATTTTATCCAGAAAGCTCTTAGGTGGGTTGAGAAACCAAGATGTTGGTTCTTCTCTAAAGTCACCTTTGTTTATCTTCAACATTACCAGTTTTAAAATGCAAGAGACATGATCATCAACTTTCAACATCTGTGAAGTGATGGACTTGGTTTCTACAGTGATATTCTGCTCACTATTGAGGAATACTCTTTTTTTTTAATAAAATTTTGTGTGGTTTCCATTTTATACAGTTTTCTTGATTTTTCAGGCAGCAATTAAATTTTATCAGAACATGCTTATCTTTTTCCTCTTTCTTCAACCTTTGTTAAAATTAATAATTCACATTTCTGAAGTTTAGCAAGTTTACCATGTCTAGCATATCTTTTTCAAAATACATCAAATCAATGTATTGTGATAGACATTCATGTGTTTCAGAGCCATACTTGTCAGTGCTGGATGTGTTCTTACTGCTGTCATTCATCCCTTCAGGATGTTAGCAATAATAGCTCTCTACAATTTTCTGTCCTTTTTAGCTCTTAATAAATCTTATCCTTTTGTTATCACTCCTAAACCTTGTTCTGCCATCCATTTACTCAAGCTCTCTAGGTAGGTTATGCATTGTTTTCCTCTGTCCCTTTTGCCATCAATCTGTGAGAATCAAATTTTCTAAGCCCTCTTTCCTCATTGTTTACCCTAGAAATTTCAACCATATCTTCCTGATGTTAAGTATAAGCGCCCTTTTTGTTTCCATTTTCTCTAAAACTTTGTCATTACTCACATGTTCAGTCCATGGTATTCTCAGTTTCTATCTGTAGCATCACATTTCTGTTGCTTCAAGTCTATTCTTCATCTGTGAGGAGATTGTCCAGCATTCACTGACATATAGGAAGACTGATATTACACAACAGTTCAATACTCTTTTCTTTGTTTCTAACAATTTTTTTTATTTCTTAATACTTTCACTATCCCAATACCCATTCATCCTTTGTTAAAATACTTCCTAGATATTTGAATTATTGTTGGTATCTTCAATTTGTAATTTGCCTGTTGGTGAGAATAACCATGCATTTTATCTTCTTGCACTTGATGCTTAGTCCTTTCTTTTCACTTCTTCATTATCTTCTGTAGGAGTTCTTGTAGTTTCCTTTCTAGATCTGCTATCAACACTGTGTCGTCTGCATATCTTATGTTGTTAAGATTGTGGCTGCCAATAATGAGTTGTCAGAATTGCCTCATTGTATAGGTTGAATAAGTTTGGTCAGAAAGCACATCATTGTCTTACACCCCTTTCTATTTTTGTATATTTATTGAACCTATTTTCTATCTGTATGCAAGCAGTTTGCTCTCATTATAGGTTCTGGATTATAATAATATCTTTCCTGAATATGTCGAGGTTACTTAGCAGTTCCAACAGTTCTTTGTGACATACTTTATCAAACACTTTTACATAATAAATAAAAACACAGGCACACATACTTCTGCATTTGTATTGGTCTTTCTGATATCATTCAGAGCATAAATATCACATTCCTTGTTCCAGTGTCTTTAATGAACCTGCATTGTTCTTGTTCTATTTTTGATCTGATTCCGCTGTGTGCTCTATTCATCAGAATTCGGAAGTTTTATTATATAGCTCATTAGGATGATTGTCTGATGGAGTTCACATTCGTTTGCACCTGGCTTCTTGTTACTTAGGTCTTCCAGTATATCACCACTGTTGTATATGTTATTTATTAGGTCTCATGGCTGCTGTCATTAAACAAATATAAAAAAAATACTTTCCATCTCATTCTCTATAACAGACTTTCCATTTTGACAAATTTTAACATACATGGCCTTGGTATGAGCATGTTTATTTTTTGGAGAATACCCTAAATATACCTCTTCTATTCTGTTTGTCACTAACTGCCAGCTACATATTACTTCTTTTTAATCAATCTAATTTTGATGATGTGCAAACATGTTGCTTTGTTTACATTTTATTCTTCACATAATTAAATTGTCCAACGTTTAAGTTTTTTGTTTAATAATGTTCAATTAGTATACAAAAGGTTTGTTCATCCAGTCATTTGTTTGATTCTCCTACCCAGTGTTTGTGCTGTTTCAGTGCAAACTTAGGTCAAGTACTCAGCCCAAGATTTTCCAGCTGGACATGTACAACAAAACCTCATAATGAAAAGCAAGCAGAAAATGTAAAAACTAAACTGTATATGGAGGAGAGAAAACAATCTCAACTACAAGAAAAAAAATAAATGAAAATTAAATTTTAAAATATAACAGAAAAAACTACATTCAGTAAAGACAAACACTTGCCATTGATTTGTGTGTCATTCTCTTAAGCTTACTGATAATGAATTCACTTCCAAAGTGGTACATAGTGAATGAAGGCTTCTTCAAAATTGACTTTGCTTAACAGATTTCTGTTTCAGTGCATTTGTCATGATAATTGCAATCCATTACATCAGCTGTTTGAAGATTTTAAACTGTCATCACCATACATAGGAAATTTTTATTTCCTTTATTTCCAACTGAATTTTAAACTAGCATATTTATGAATTGTTTTTTGTACTTGTAGGTATTTGTCAGGACTTGAGTCTAACACAGGGAAAATTACAGAAGGTTTGAAGAAGACAGTATAGTGCCAATTTTATTTTTATTTCTCATTACGCTGAAGTATTTTTCAGTTAGAAATTTCACTGTAACTCTTGAATCTTAGAGACATTGTTTGCAGACTGATATTGGTTATAATTTTTAAGAAAGAAAAAGATGACATTGGATTTTGGCTAAAAAAGTGGTTTCTTTGATGGAAAAAAATGGATGTAGTTCTGGTTCCTGTTACAGGCACATTTTTCCTTTAGTAAGTTTTCTCAGTCTAGGCCGGTTGTTATTAATTTTACTGTTTAATAAGATAAAAAAAAAACAGGGATAGTAACTCAAACATGTGTGCCTACTATAAATAATGTTTATAGTAATAAGAAATAATGCTGGATAAGAAATAATTTTTAAAATTATCAGTAAATATAAATGCAAATGTTTATACACTGCGTGCCAAATTATTAGAGATAACTTTTTTCTAATATTTCAAAAACCGTCCAGTCAATTCACACAAAATTTTTACACAATGTTGGCAACACTGAACTGCGCAATCGCTGAAGTTTTTGTACTGATCTGCGAATGTAAACAAATTGGCGCCATATTTGTTATCAGCATGGTGATTTGAGCGTGCCAAATTATTAGAAAAGTATAAGAATTTAATGAAAAGATGGGCCATAAAAGCAGTTTAAATGATGCTGAAAAGAAAACTATTACCTCAGAACTTGCAAAAAGTAAATCTACTCTAGAAATTTTTAAAATGATAGAGAAGTGTCATCAAACAGTGAAAAATCGTCTCATGTCACAACTTAAACGAGAGGCCATGAAGAACCCTGGACTTACCAGTCAAGAGCTTTTCAGTCGTATTGGGGATCCTACTGTGTTTAAAGTACTCAGTGTCGGTATCTGAGGGAAATAGCAACAACAGTCAAACCTGTATCGAAGCCGCCATTGACAAGAAATCACATTCAAAATCGATTGAAATGGGCCGAGGACAATATGAAGATTGACTTCTCTAAAGTTTTGTTCACAGACGAAACTCGAGCAACACTTGATGTGCCAGATAGATGGTGCAAAGGCTGGGTAATGAACGGACAGAATCGCCATCAGTGTTTGAGACGCCAACAAAGACGGTGGTGGCATAATGATCTGGGGTGGTATTATTGGAAACACATTAGTGGGCCCATGGAGAGTACCAGATGGTGTCAAAATGACTGCTGATGCATATATAGCATTTATGAAGGAGCATCTTGAACCGTGGATGAAAAGGCAAAGAGTTGCCTTCAGAAGGGCCATTGTTTTTTATGCAAGATAATGCTCCCTCACACGCTGCTAACAAGACTACTGAATATTTGAAACAGTTAGGCTTCGATGGACCTCGAAATATGAAGTGGCCAGCAAATTTTCCGGATTTGAACCCAATCGAAAACCATTGGAGCATCATGAAGTGAAGACTGTACGCCAACGGACGACAATTCCGGAGCAACGCTGAGTTATGGGAAGCAATTCTTGACATATCTCGCGGCATTACAGCAGATGACATACTACAATTAACAAATTCTATGGATCGTCGACTTTTTCAAGTAATTTCAAAACAGGGAAAGCACATTCCCTATTAATTTGTTTAAAACTGTGCCTTTGTTTGTATCTGTTATTATTTGTTTGATTATCTTATTTATTAGCTTCTTTTGATCATAAACATTCATGTTCACCATTAATAAACGTTTTGTTTGCTCAATTCCGGGAATTTTACTAAACCTTTCTAATAATTTGGCATGCTCAAATCACTGTGCTGATAACAAATATGGTGCCAGTTTGTTTACATTGCGCAGATCAGTACAAAAACTTCAGCGATTACGCAGTTCAGTGTTGCTAACAATGTGTAAAAATTTGTGTGAATTGATTGGACGGTTTTTGAAATATTAGAAAAAAAGTTATCTCGATAATAATTTGGCATGCAGTGTATAGCATATATTGGTCACTAGCAGTAGAGCCCGGCGTTGCTCGGGGATGTAACAGTAAGAGATAGATCAGGTATCAACCATCATAAAGACTGAAAAATAAAATTGACAAAGATTATTGCTTAAGGTTGATGGACATGCATGTCTTAATTAGTTTTTTTTTCTTTTTCAAATTGGTCAAACCCAAACTCAAACAAAAACATTGTTTTCAATCGTTATGAGAATACTGATTGAATAGAATTTTATTATAAACAATTGTCTTGTAAATGGAATTTTTAAAGCATTCTGAATGTAAAAATAAAGAAAAAAGTGTGCAAGACAATAAGAAACACTACCTGCCAAAAAAAGTGAAGTTTTGTTGAAATCAATTGAAAAATGTAGGAAATCTGATCCCATATATAAAGGAACACAGACCCACACACACAAACAAACAACCTGGGTTTTATAATAAGTATAACTCTATATGAGTTGTCCCCCTTTCATTCTCGTGATGTCTCTTAATCGTGTTTTCAAATTGATTTCGTGCAAAAACAATTGTGTTTTTCCAATTTTGGGTGCTGTCAGAGCCACCGCAAGGTAATTTTACGTAGTCTTGTGAAATTTTGTTGAAATCGGTTGAAAAATGTAGGAAAACCGATCCAATATATAAACGTACAGACACACACACACACACACACACACACACACACACACACACACAATCTGCATTTTATAAGTAAGATTCTTCTTAAACACAGGTGCAGAAATTGCATTTTTTTTAGTATATAGTACTTAAATTAGTGTTCTATTTAAGCTTATATGTTGTCTATTACTTAGACTCCTTTTCCATTTTTTTTTGACAAGGGTTAACATGTTACAACAATGTTGATCAGGAGGGTCCACTCATTACAAAAAAAAAAAAACCTTTATTACAGGATTCCTTATAAAAGACTACATAATTTCAAGTATCAGCAGCAAGGACTCTTTTGTTTCGCTATACTGTACCGAGGTTTAGCATTTGAGAAATTCTCTTGATATAAGCATAAAAGTATAAACACAAAAAGATAAGTGAAAGTAAATTTACCCAGAGTGGCACCTTGATCCATCCACATTTCATAATGCCTTGTCTCTTCCTCTAATTGTCTGCGATAATTCTCATCATCCCTCTCTGGAAGATTAGCTGCATGCCACTCTTCTAGACTACGACCATCTCTGTCATCTGTGGCTGTGGCTTGATCATAAGAGCTTCGACGTGACATGCTCCTCTGGGCTGATTCAGTGTTTGGTCGGAATGGCATCTTAAGGCTGGGATCAACCACTGGTACCACTTCACCTAAACTTCCTACATTTGCTGCAAAGTTGATCTCATTGAGTTTTTCAAAAGTAAATGACTTAAAGTGATCATCATCATTTTCCTTTGTCTCTGAATTCGTTGCATCCTTTTTGATAATTTCATTGATCTCTTTCTCAATGCTGAATAGCCTATAGAGATCTTTGGATTCCTTAGCCCGGCTAAATGCCCGGGCATGTCTTTCCAGGGAATCTTCCTGTTGCATAAGTTCCAAAGCCCTGGAATCAATTTTAGACTTTTGTTCTTTAATCATCTCAGTTGCCTTCTCAGCCAAAGCTTTTTCCCGCTTCTCCAGCAGGAGCCTGTATTCGATGAAGGTTTCCTTGATAAGACATTTGATCTGCTTTTCAATCACATCTAACCGCTTTGATGCATTTTCATGACCAGTCAGGAGTTCTTTTACTACTTTGATGCATTCCTGACACCTAAACAGAAGAAAAATAAAAATGATAAATTCTAGTTTCTAATATTTTTTATGTAATAAAATAAAAGGAAATTGAATTTATACATTATAAAATGAAGATTTTACCAATAGTAAAGTATGTTTTTAAACTGTATAATAATAATCCAAAATATATTTACACATTTAACAATATATATATATATGTATATATATATATATATATATATATATATATATATGTGTGTGTGTGTGTGTGTATTGATGTAATAGGAAAGAAGAGTTGGATTAATGATCGAAAGTTCTTTAGTATTTATGTTTTTACTTTAAAAAACAGTGCTCGATACAGAAGCAGAGCTTAAATTATCTTTTAAAAATATGATTCCATCGCGACACCAAAATTACTATGTTTCAAAATTTGACTCAAGTCCTAAAGTTTAATTTCAATATTAAACTTAAAATTTAGAGTACTGTTTCATTCTCAAGTGATGTTTTAGAATAACTCACTGAAGAAATGATTTACTCATTTATAGGTTGGAAATGTAATCTGGGGTTTTTTCTTTTGTTATCAAGGGGTCACTACAGTGATGAAAGTATGAATGTTTATTATATGTCAAATTTTTGGAGTCTTATAAGGTTTGGTTGGGAGATAAACATATATATATATATATATATATATATATATATATATATATATATATATATATATATATATATATATAGATAGATAGATAGATTATTAGTAATATTAGGGTCAATATATATATATATATATATATATAAAATTCTCAAGAGGATAGAATACAAGTAGAGCTCAATGCCCAGGACAGAGTAAGAATATAATATAAAAGGTTCAAACACTAATATTCCATGGTTATAATTTATTACATTGGAATTGTAATCACGATTCAATTCATCAGACCTACAAATTCAAAAAGAAATCGGAATATATATATATATATATATATATATATATACATACATGAGTAAATATAGAGTAAAGACAAAAGAAAATTTATCATAAACAACGAGTTTTGTCATTCTGATGGACTTTATCAGGGCAAATGTAATGCTTATATTTTGCAACAAGTATTTATAACCAAAAGTAATAATGTTAGTTTTTCAAAATTTTTTAACTTAAGAAATGCTCATAAATATTTATCAGGCTAACTGAAAAGTATTGGTAAATTATGGAGGATAATTGTTTTCCTTTTGTCTTTATTCATATTGTCCTTTTACAGATATATTTGTAGTTATTAGTTATATTTGAAATATATATATATATATATATATATATACATAAAACAGTCATCCCAATAGATTTCATAATCTCAATGAAAATACCACATCTGTGAGCCAGTAAACTCCAGAACATTTGTTTGGATTGAAAAATTTTATGTTTCTTCCCTCCCCCAATTACAAACTTAAGACATAATGAATTTTCAAGTTTGACTATTCTGTATTCCTTTTCTTTAGTGTTTTTTAAATATTTCAAGTATACCAACTAATTTTAATGGAGAATAAAATAATGTTACTTATAATAAATTTGATAGCAAGAAACTTGTAGTTTCTTTTTCAACTAAGATAAAAATCTCCAAAAGATATACAAAAAATAAGAAAAAATGTGAGTGAAATGTCCTGACTGTTCAATTTCTAGCCCTCTTGAAACCCACTAAATTTGTTTATTTTTTTACAGTTATATAAAATGATGAGAAGATAAAAACAAATGTTGTTACATCCCAAAAGATGACTGCTTCTTAATGAAAACTTTCAAGATATTGTATTTTAATTGAAGAATTTTTATGAGACTTGGTCATTATCAGCCTTAGAAAATATTTTATTTATATTTTCCATTTAAAAGACAATAGAAAAAATTTAGCTGATGAACTGTGAAGTAGATAAGAAAGAAGATAGTTGTAACCATTCCATCATACCTCCTTCCAATGTCTGTAAACCTTTCAGCACTATCTTCTAGTTCAGTTTTCAGGTCAGTGATTGTATGGCCATCGCGTTCCCTGTGGTCCAACATAGTACAGTCACGACAAATAGGCAGCATGCATTTCTTGCAGTAGAAGTTAACTGGTTGGTTATCATGTTTGTTGCACTGACTTTTAAACCTTACATCAGTCTGCTGGGCAGACACAAAGTCCATCATCTGAATCACACGGTGATCAGTAGGGAGTGATTCCACAGTAGCTTGTGATAGGTGGGTCTCTTTACGGCAAGTTGGGCATCTGCAAGATAAAGGAGAATGAAAGCAGAATTAAAAACAAAAAATATAAAGATACTATCAGCTTTTTACAGAACTTACTTGAGCCATTTATACAAGATTTGATCTACTGTCAATACTCTATAAATAAGGCCTTGTGAAGTAATTTACTTGAAACTATACTTACAGCACCCACTTATAATGTAAATGAAAACTTACTGGTCTTACAAGCTATTGATACTACTGATACTGATATTAATTTTGGAAATCCTTAGATAAAACTAATATTAATTTTTTGTCTAGTATATACGTTATCTTAATTTCAGTTATTTTTCATGGCAACTCTCAGACATATTTTTATAATTTTGTAACTATAAAATTAAATTTGTAAATAAACAATCTAACAACTAAATAGTGTATAATATTTTTGTTATTATTAAAATTCTAAACATAGCTTTTTAAAACAATAAACATCTCAAGGTAGTATACAGTAATAGCTAACAGGTGTGCTATAGAAGAAAATGGATATTCTCCCATTCACATTTCCCCCATTATTGGCATTGATATAACCATGATATAATAACACCTTCTTTCACAGACAGAACGGAATAACTGGAAGAAAAAATGACAAACATGCTTGGTTCTCAGAGAGAGTTTTATGCTGCTATGTCACACACAAATTTATGTATACATATTTACATTTGTCCCACTCAGAGAAAATATAACACATATCTACACAACAAGCAGTGTGAAAGGAAACAAAAAATAATTCTCAATGGGAATTGGGTCTGCTGGATATTTGTCTGTGTTTCTGGAGAAACCATATTTAGGGTTCCAGATTTGAGCAGGGTGGAGGAGAAAGATTTAACCTCCATCTGTGCAAGGCAAGGGCCTTGCCCATGCTAAAAAAGCAACTGCTTGGTCTAACTTCTGGGAGCTGACTGAAGGACTGACCACTGTTGTCACTATAAAGTGACATCCCTAAGTGGCTGTCACCATATGACTTCATCTCAATCAAAGGAAGATAATTGTCTTTTGTATCCCTACTTGTGCACCATCCTTAAGCAAGTTCTATAACCTGCTATGGCTAGTTACCGTTATTCTGTTTGTTGTTGATATAATAGAAATTTTGGAACATACTTTACCAAGCTACAATGTAATTACATACATACATATATTTTTATATTGTATCAATGTAATGTAATACTGTAATGTTAAATTGTTAAAGTGTTAGATTTTAATTATAAGTAAAACATTACAGATACCAATAAAATCTTTATTAGTCAAATATTGCAGTTATCTTTATTTGGTAAGCACTGAGAGTCAGGTAGGTAATGGGCCTTTGAGAGGCCAGATGGAATTGCTGTGCAACTATTGCAAGATGGAATTCAGTCTTTGTACGATTGCAAGCATACAAGAGTACAGGCCTGTGTTAATACTCAAGGAAGATATCAAGTATATTAATACAGATTTGAGTACTGTCAATACACCTCTTATTTTGAAACCTGTGCATATATTGATATGTATATGTGATCATTTACCGTAATTCAGCTATATTACTGGTATGTTTAATCTCAAGTAAATTGAAACAGGTATTCAGGATGATGCAATTTTATCAGCCATCAGATCGTGTGTATGTAAATATGCTCCCTTCCTTTGGAAGAAAGGGAATTTGTTGGCTACTGCTGATTAGTACTAAAGCTCTTCAGAATGAACTGAACTCTCTGGTAGTCAGTAATGCTTATATCTCATATATAATGCATTAAATATTTCCTTTCTCCATAGTGTGTGCTGATGGCCCAAGGGTGAGTCTCCAACAGATGTCAAATTGGTCAGGTTTCAATCCTGGCTTGAAGCAATCGTATGTCTAGCCACACTGATGATACAGTGAAGCAGTCTATCTGTGAATATATATATATATATAAATATATATATATATATATATATGTGTGTGTGTGTGTGCATAATATAATACTGAAAAAAATTGTCAGAGTAATAAATTTTACTTATTAAAAACCAATAAAATCTTTTAGTCAAAAATTGCATTCATCTTTACTTGGACAAAAAGAATAAAATCTACTCCAATACCTGATGATGTCTGTAGGAACAGACGAAAGCTTGTAAAAAATTAAAAAGACCTTATGCAACTGGAATTTATAAACAGGGATCATATCATTCATATACAGGTTCGGGGTTGATGTATCTTATTTATATTCTTTGCGATGAAGTATTCTCACCATTTAAATCATTAACCTCTATATTTGTTTTTTGTATGAATGATTCATGAATTTATAAATTATTTTTGCACCTTTTAATTGAAATATATATATATATATATATATATGTCTGCTATATATACTGCTTGGAAATTTTTTCAATTACTATGACAACAAAAATATAAATAAGCATAAAAAAACTAAATGAGCAATAAATTTTGAAACATTGGCTAAGTGGTATGACAATAAAAAGAAAATATCTTAAATGATAATCATTACCTGAGGTAATTTTTCTCTTGTGTGTAAAGACCACCATCATCAGCATGGATGTAAACATTTCGCAGGCAAGGCAAGCAAAAAGTGTGGTTACATTGAAGAAATTTGGGTATTCGGTCCTGTTTGCCAAATTTTTCTCGACACACCATACAGCGCAAGAAACTCTCTTCAAAACTGCCTTCATCGATAATCAAATTACGGCCGGACAGCAGAGAACCATCTTCACTTTCGGATGCCATTTTTCTGGATGCCTGAAGGCCATATACTCACTTTAAAACAAAAAACAAAATATTAATCAAAGTTTGAAAACAAAATATCACTGATATATTGGAAATTGAATTTTACTTGTAGAACTCACAGAAATTCCATAATGAATCAATATAGGATGCAAACACAAAGCAATTGGTATATATTAATAATTATAATAATTGGTATCTATTAATAATGCAGGGAAAATATCAATATTTTGGAATCATAACTATTCCATCTACAAAAAAATAATCTTTTAAAAAGAAACATTATTATTAATTTTAAAGAATTTTTGAAAGGAAAATATTTTTTACAAAGACGATTTCTCTAACTCACAATTTTTTTATTACTTTAACTCATGTATTAAATAAAAAAATTGTATAATAAATAATATGCAGTATTTGGAACTAGTATTGAGTAGGTCCTCCATTTGCTAGTTTCAGTGCTTGTATTTGATTTTTCATGGATTTGATAAAGTTATCAACAATCATCTGAGTCATATTTTGTCACTCCTTTAACAATGTTTCTTTAAGGGTTGCCACTGACATGATTTTGGTTGCATGCTCTCAAAGTCTTTGGTCAAGGTGCTCCCAAAAGTGCTTTATTGGATTCATGTCAGAACTTTGGGCTGCCCATGGCAGTGACTTAATTCCTCGCAGTTCCTTCCAGGCCTTTGCTACTTTGCTTGTATGACATGGTGCTCCATCTTCTTGAAAAAGGTAAACATTCTTGTTAATCTGATTGGTTTCAAATAGTTGGAGTAGTCCTTTTTCTAATATTTGACAGTATTTTGGACCATTCAACTGCTCATCAACAAGAATCAGCTCAGATTTCCCTCCAAACCAGACAAATTACAGACTGCTAAAATTCATAATCTTTGCTCTCGAATTCTCTCGCCCAGTCCATATGCCCGTTCCTGTTAACCTCTGAAATCAAGGCCTTTTTTCTTGCAACTGTTCTTTGATAGCTTAGCTCTTTCAGTCTTTCTCACTGCATATGGTGACATTTGCATGCTGTTGACAACATCTTTGACGCTCTGACGACAGTTTCTGATGTCTTCCCTATTCAGTGCCCTTTTTGTTCACTCAGACATGATGCTTGGTCTTCCTGAACATTGTTCCACATAACAATGGCCTTCTTCACTAAATTTCTTGACAATATTATTAAACATTTGATGACTAACCTGGAAAAACTTAGCAATTTCTCTATTTGACTTGCCACACTGATGCCATCCTATTATTTGCCCTTGTTGAAATTCACTAATTTCCTTACTTCCATGAACTTTCATTGCAAGATATAAGTCAACTATTGTTCATAGATGAGAGTAACTTGATACTAACATGATATTGTCAGAAACAAAAAATGCCAAAATTTCTGTAATCAAGGGTGGCTAAAAACTTATCACAGCCCACAGTATATATATATATATATATATACATATATATACACACACACTAATAATAAATACAGATTTGTTTCTCAGTTTAGTACCATCAACACTCACTGTGCACTATTATATATATATATATATATATATATATATATATATTAAACAATGCAGCTTAATTAATATTGTAGTCATTCAAAGAATAACTACATTAAAGTTAATGTAATTAATGGCAAATTCGCTTCACTAAAAAGATTAAATAAGGCATTAACTCACTGCCCACTTGCTGAATGACATGATCCTTGTTTTTATTAATATGTAAAATGGATTGGATGTTCGTTCCATATTGCAAGTACTTTTGGTAAAACATTTACCATCCTCAGGTATAGATGTTATTTTTTTCTCAATTTCAGGTAATTTGGGGTAAAATTTCAAGACAAAAATGAATGTGATACTTGTCAAAAGATGTTTTATTAAAAAGTGTGTTATTATATGTTAAGAATTTTTTTGAGCATGCACTAATGCGACGTTAGATTTTTGAATATTGTAGTAATGTAGTAATTCACAATTTCTATTATTGTAAGTGTTTTTTCTGTTAACGTGACAGACTATTGCTGTTCTTCTGGGACATTGCTCTAATTATTGGACCAATAGTCTATGTCACATTAACAGAAAAAAAAAAAAAACACTATTGTGATATAAAAATTTAAAGCATAAACCTGAGTTTTCTCTTCATCCTTTCCCAGTAAAGCTTTTTTTTTAAAAAAAGTAGACTTGTAAATAAACTCCAATCAACTGCATTACTGTTGTTATTCTTTCATCTCAATCTATATTCCCTCATTTTTCTCTCTCTCTTTCCTTAGCCTTGATACAGATGATTCAATAAATTCTTCAATGATGATTAATCCTCTTCCTATTCTCTTCTCATATTGTCGGTCAATGCCATCTTTTGGGTGCTTTGCCATTATACAGTTTTATTTCTATTGTTTTATAAATCTTATTAGTTTACTATGCATTCCTTCATTGAAAAAAGGATTAAAACTTCATTCAGTCAATAGAAGTATAAAAACAAATTTAACATTTGTAAATGCAGTAGCATTTTTAACTTTTTTAACTTTCCAATTTATTGAATATAGAAATATCTAAATACAAAATTACCTCATTTATTTAGATGTAATAAAAAATAAAAATTCAAAAAAGCAATACCTGAAAAGAGTATACAGTGAACCCTTGATTTATATGGTTTTGTTTGATATCATTGTTTTAGTAATAGATCTTGTCTTTTGTAATATATTTTCATCAATGTGCTTGTAAAATTTCAAATATTATTTTATGAAGGCATTAGGACACTATATATTTTATAAATTTTATCCATATATTTAATACACATTTGATTAGTATTGAATTTTTCAAGTTTCAGTTGACCACATTAAGCAAGAATTCAGTGCATTAAGTAAAAAATAAGAAGAGGCTGTTCCCTTCAAATAATGAAGTTTAAGATAAATATTCCCAACTCTTCTGGACTGAAGAATTTTAATCTAAACAATAAATGTTTTCTCTTGCTAATACTTTTGTGGCTTATTTTGTAAGCTGTTTGACTTTCTGCAATTAAGAACCTTTCACATACTTTATTCTTGGTTGACTCTTCCTTTTCAATAACAGTGGATCATGCGTCCTGAGATTCACTTTTACTTTGTTTTCATTTACTGTTTCACCCCTACATCAACACTTGCACAAACGCAGTACACTTATTGAATAGTACTGAAACTGGTTCTCAAAATTTCAAAATAATCTTTTAACAGCTTTAAGTTGAATTGAAGAAGCATTAAAAACAACACAGATGAATTTTTAAAATAATTAGTGATGTTCCAGATTCAAAATATATTAAATTATAATATCAAAAATATGTTTAGTACACACAATGCATTATTGTGTTCTCATCCTTCAATCACCTATTTTATTTAGCAAATCAAGATATAGCCTTTTCCAAATTAAACTATTTTTAACATTTCATTTATTAAATTTCATCACTATAGGTTATATACCATATATACTAGACTATCGTGCAAGTTTTTATGATCATTTTTTATGCACAAAATAAGGGGTCACACTATACACAGATAAATTTGTTCTGGAGGGGGTTAAAATTCATGTAAAATATTCAGAGGTCGCACTATAAATGAAATCAGCTTGTACACAAATATATACCATATTTTGAATTTAAAAAATACTTAAATCATGCCAAAATATTTTTTAATATTGTTTTTTAAAGTAATAAAATAAGTAATGGAAAAATTTTTATCTATAATTTTTGTATACAAATTTTTAGTTTCTTTTAACAGTGTTTATGCAGTACATGATTAATATTTAAATGTCATATTACATGAAAAAAATTTTTTTAATTTTCATTAACAAAACATTTTGTTTTGTTAAAAGTGTAAAACATCATTGGAATATGAAAAAGAATATGCATTTTTTATAAAGCAAAAAAAGTAATTTTCTGGATATAATTAATAACAAAAAAATAACCATTTCAATTTGTATGGCTCATCTTTTTATAAACTTTGATTCCAGTAAATAACTGCTTTATTAATCAAGTCAAAACCTTTCAGAATACAATTAGTTATTATTCACAAAGTTATTGTTAATAATAACTAAAATAGACCACTTAGAACCAGATATCTGTCCGGTCATATCCTAAGAATTTGAACAAGAAATATGAATTTTTTTGTATTCTCTTCTCAAATGTATTAATAATTAAAATATTTTTCATTTCTTCTTTTTTTTATATGATCTCATTAAAAGTTATTCAACAAATATTTTTCCAATAATAATTCTTTTTCAAACTGGAGAAAAAAAAAAGAGAGTTTGTATTTGTTTGCACATATGACACAATATCATGTTCAATGTAGAGCCTCATATGCATACATGCGGGTGGTGACAAATACCTGCAACCAGTACTGCAAAGGCATCAAAGCAACATACAGTCCCACCCCGTTTAGTGCAATGGAGAAGTGTGGCCAAGAAGCTGAAATCTTCAAGAACTAGACAGGTTTGCTTCCATTTTGTGCCCTGTCCTGCCTGAAGCCATAAAATAGCTATGTGATCCTATGTAAATGTCCTGTTTTAGAAAGATCTAAATGAAGGCATGCTGAAAAAAATTATCTTATTTGCAATTTATTTTTTTAGTATACACCAAGTTTTTATTAATGTTGCATCAATTTACTGTGAAAATGCTTTTAAATCTTTGTAATTGTGAAAAGATCACATTTGAACAGTCTTACTCTTATTGCAAATATTCCTCAGTTTTTCTTTAAAAATGATGGTGAGAGAGGAGCTTTAAGTTCTAATATAGGGATAAATTTTTCATAAAAAATGAAACAAATCCAAAGCAAACTTTTTACACTGGGACTGATTTCTTTTGTATTCATTTCCCTCACCCCCATATTTGTGGGCTTTCTGTTGTTGATTGATTTCCCCATCACCCACCATTTGTTTTCATGAAAATGATTCTTTAGCACAAAATCTGTTTGCTTGGTGAGGGTGGGAAAAGGTTTTAATCACATGACCAATTTAACATAAGTGTAAAGGAAGTAGACAGTAATAATACACATCTGCCTACTTTGATCGATTTTCTCAGTTGTTTTCAGTTGTTATAAAATATGTTTGTGTGTATTAAATTGTTTTAAATGTCAAATATTAGAAAACAGGACTGACCTCAGTTTAACAAAAAGAAAAAAGAAAAGAAAAAAACATTTTTTTTTAATTGTGGACAGAACTTTGCATAATGAAACTGGACTTCATAAGGTCACATTTAATTACTAAATAAATATTTTTAAAAAGTGTAGTTATTTTAAGATAGTTGAAACTAAACTGGACCAAAAAATCATTAGTTATGTTTTTGTACTTGCCATAAAAAATGTGACTTTCTTTCGCCAGCTTTCCTCATATGGCGCAGGGTGGGGGTACTAAAATAACGTCGCAATGCAAGTGGATTCCGCCAATGCCAAATTACTTCAAATGTTATTTTTTAAACAGTATTTTTTTGTCTACCGGCCTGTACACATTTTCTTGAGTGTTGGGAGAGGAAATAAATACTGTTTAAAAAAAATTTAAAACGGAGCGTCTACTCAAATATGGGTATCCACTAAAAATAACGTTTGTGAAATGTAGGACTAAAAAATAAAATCCATTAATTCTTTAGAAATAAATTAAATTTCATATCTAAATTAAATGAATTTTATTTTATTTTCAGGTTGGCTAAAACTAATGTTCTAACTAAAACGTCTTTAGCAAGTAAAAATAATTAAAAAAAACTGATCTAAGTACTTTTCTTACAGTAACACCTAAGTAAATGAAAAATAAAAAGTCATTTTGTCTTTGACGTTACAAGTCAAAAGATCCTTTGTTTACTAACTTTATTCAATCTAGTCATCAGTAACTCTTAGTTTTACTTTTAGTTTTATTTCGTTAGTTTGTTGTTTAAGGCATTCTACAATGCCAATGGTCTCTTTTAGAGAGATTACTACTTTTGTTTGACAATTGTATAAATAATTTGAATGACTTTCTTCAAAGTTTCTATCTGAAATACACCAGAATTGTTTAATTAATAGAAATCGTAAATTTAATTATTAAATCTTCAAGAATGTTTTTTCGTTGTAAAAAATTCATTTTAAACTTCAATATAGAAAATTTATGCCGAAATAGTGGAGGTAAGTGGTATTGAATTCTAAGGACTGGGAGGCGTGCAGACACACGCGTATTTTAGGACAAACTTTATGACACACACACAAAAAAAAATAAAAATAAAAAAACTCTTCTCGGTGAATGAACGATACCGTAAAATAAAATTTAATGCATAATTTAAAAGCTTTAATAAATTATTTTTTTCTTAGGAATCGCCCTTTGGCTGTCATGAATAAAAACTTTATTTTTTTTTTCAGTAAAAAAAAAAACAAAAATTATCAAATATAAATATTAAACAAGACTTAAAGATTAAAAGTTGAATTTTCTTTATTTGTATGTCAGAGAAAGCAAGAAAGACATTATCCCAATTTAGCCATTTATTTAGTTTTCACGGCACAAAAAAATTGGTGGCGGGTGAAAAGGCAGTGAAAACAGTGACCTAACCGTTTGAACTGAACAAATTGAAACAACAATCAACCAAAGATTTTAAAAAGTGATATTTTTTAAAAGTCTGGATTCAATTCAAATGTTAAAGAAATATTGAAATGTAAAACTAAAACAGTTTCTCCTAATTTTTTAAAAGCAAAATCAGTGAATTAAAAAAAAACCCAAAAAAACTAAGAATGAAAAAACATTTTTCTCATCTCATTGGGAAATATTTCCTTTGACTTTTTTTGTGGAGTTGCTGAACACAAAACCCGATTCCAAAAGAGAAAATCATAAAAAAGCATTGAATAATAAATAAATACTCGATAAAAGAACTGAGAGCAGAGAATAAAGAAAAAGATGCGTTGAATACATTCGTTTAAAAAGAAAAAAAAAAGTATGACCAAATTAAGAAAGCAAAAGTCAAAGGCTCTGAAAATTGCGAAGGGAATAAAAAGGCAGCTTTGAGAACTACACCATTTTAAGTTAACGCACTGTTCAAAACGAGTGATATCGATTTTTTAAAAAATATGTTTTAAAAAATAATAACAGTCGCAAGGCATTTCATTTCCATATGGTAGAAAGATAGAAACAAGACTTCATCTATCTCTCAAATCTCTGTTTTTTGTTGTTTTCTTCTAATAACTTAACATTGTAAAAGAATTGATTTTTTTTTTGTAAAAAAGATATTTTCGCGATTGATAGAATTTTTTAAATGTAAGAAATTTATTATGAATCGATTCAAGCCTACTTCTTTTTAATTTTAATTGTTAGTTAAGTTGAAATTTAAAAATTATGACTGCTAATTAAAATTCTTGTTATAAATCCAAATGTTTTTAGAGAACATTTGACCACAACTTGACCCATGCAGTTGATTAACATATATAGCAGTAGTGAGTAGCATAAGTTGCTGGTTTGGCTATCGAACATTACTTGTCTACCATATACATTTTTTTTATTTTTGTAAAATACTGAAAAATGCGCATTGTTCTTTATACACAATCTCTTAAAAATTAAATAGTAACGTTTTTGCTAATCACAAATTTTAAACTTTGTGAGTGAACGCGCGAGACTAAATTAGCATTAAAAAAAAGTTAGAGTACTACTCACTGTCATTGTTTGGGTCATTAACATGGAGTAAAAAATTTTCATTCTCAATATTTCACACAAAAAGGACAAAGTAATTAAACAGAAAAGTCATTTTTGCAATTTTTGAAAAACGGAATAATTTACTACTGACAGTAGTACACCGACAATATAAACTGCGTTTTTTTTTCATTTTTTTACGCTCGGCTACTCGTACGTAGAGTCTTTTAGTTTTTGGGACCGGGTGAGTGCTGCGTGGATTTGTGAATTATTATCACCTATTTTCTTGTATCGTCTGTTGGTAAAAATATCACAATCCAACAAAATAATACAACAACGTGAAAACTTAAGGATAAGAAAGGAGTCACGGTTTCAGCAACTCTCGCTTAAAAAGATACTTAGTAGTACCTTTTTTTTTTTCACACATTAAATTAAAATTTAATTTAATGTTAAATAACATTAAAAATCATAAATCTAATAATCGTTGTCGTTATTTTTTAGAAGATTATCAGTTAAGCTAAAAGTTGGATTAAATTTCGAAGTGACAGTGTCATTTTTTTTAGTTTTTAATTTTACAGAACAAAGAATTAACGTCCTTAATTCCATTCCAAATGCCTGTCTGTTGAGGCACTACACTGACACACAAGTTGAAGTTAACTAAGATAACAAACATTAACAAAGTCATTCTTTGTAAAAATCGAGAACACTAAAAACAGCATGTTTTAGTATTTTCCAATAACATCACAATCAATTCAATTAGTCATTAAAACTATTGAATTTTAAATTTAACAGAATTACGAATGATCATAATTTCGGAACTGTAATTTAACTACAAAATCCTGGAGAATTTCCTCAAAGACTGTCTTTTGAAATTTTCAGTTCGTCAAACGAATCTCAGATCGTACGTAGGACAAAAAAGTTAAATAAATCTTATTCTTAGCGAAAAAACAGTGGATACACAAGTCTCCTTTCTTCACATTAAATAAGTTATTACGTACAAATAATGCAAAAAAAAAAAAAAAAAAGTACGATTTCTATACGTCATGGTAATGAATACTAAAACTTAAATCTTCAGAATTTTGGTTTGAAGAAGAACGTAAAAATGACTGACAGGAACAATTTCAGCAAACACTTTAAGCCTGGAAGCAATTTGGGAACTTAAAATATAATTTAAAAAGTATAACTAAAAATGAAAAAGCTAAAAAAAGCATAACCAACAAAATTTTTTTTTAAAGATGACTAGGGAATGTTGGAAGCTAATTTAATTCTGTGATGCTTCCATAAACAATAAACGTGGTAATAAAAGTTTAAGGTTAAAACGACTCAACCTTAAAGCAAGTCATTTGCATCAAAACCTAGAAACGTGCGGATACATGTAAAATCCACGATACCGTACGGTAAATTCGTATGACATGGTAATAATACTCTCTATCGCAGGATGTAGGTACTAACTAACATCATAATAAATAATAATATCATTATTAGGAGTTTACGTTAAAAAAAAAATCAATACTGACAAATTGATAGCATGAACATTTTTGCCGCTAAGGAGTTAAAATAAAATAAAATTAAAATTAAAAGTGACCAAAAACAAGTACAAGGTTACTTCTACTTCTGTTCACATGCTTTTTATTATTACAACTTTAAAACCACTACTACACTATTACTGCTACTACTGATGATGATAATGACAATATTGATAGTCGACACAATAGCAACTATGAAGAGAGAGAGAGAAAAGGAAAAAACAACAAAACAGCGTATACGAAGCCTATAAAAACTTACTCAAAAAGTACATTTGCTTAAAGACATTTATTAAAATAAAAATGTTAATTTTGATTTTGAAGCTGTATTTTTTCACTCATTTATTTTTTACTGTGGTTTGCCTTGTTAATTTACTTTGTAATGTAAACAATATTGAAAAATTCCGTGGAATGGATGATCAGACATTCCATTATTCCGTTTTCTTTTATTTGAAATGTAGTCTTTCTTTTTTAAAAAGTAATTGAACATGCTTTATGGGGAAATATCAATATTGGATCGATAACTTAAGGTTTTCTTTGTCGATTTGCTGCTGAAAAACCCAAGAGATGTTAATTGTTAAGGCTAAAAGCGATAAAAAATCAGACAAATTGGAAAAATAAGTGATCTTTTAAAAATACATAATTAATTCAATTCGCACTGAAGGAATGTGATGAATTAATTATTTTTATTAATTAATACTCCGGATGTTAAAGTTTAATTTGATATTGTGTGTTTTCTGTTTATGTTCAATCAGCATTTTTGATCTTTTTTTTTTTTTTTTTAAATAAAATAGTCGAAGAAATCAAAGAAAAACTGATGAGGTGCAGACGCAGATGATAGTTATTTTTACTTACCTGTCTGTCAGAGAACGCGTATAACAGCAGGCGACTTTTCTTGGGCACAAGTGCTCGGCCTGGTCATACCAACATCTTGAAGATATTTTCGCGGTTGTAAAAAGGAAGAAGGAGGGGGAGGAGGACGAAACTAAGCCTTTTGTCTGAACCTCAACACTTCACATGTAAGAAAAGAAAAGAGAAATAAAAATACTTAAACCAAACAAAGAAAAAGAAAACAAAAAAGATACACAGCTTAAATAAATGCTATTGTTATCGAGCATACAAACTCCATACCAGAAAAAAAAAAAAAAAATTAAAGCCGGAGGAGGATGAGAATAAATCTGAACTGAATGAATGAACTAAAAAAAAAAAAAAATTTCCTACCACCTCTACTTTTGCTTTCACTATCAAATCAAGCAATTTGGGTATACGTCGGTTTCTGAGATGAGCATTTAAAAATGTAATATTAATAGGATTGATTAGTTTAAAAAACAAAAGAAGTGAATAAAAATGTTTAACTTACCGGTTTTAAATGACAACGAATCTACCTTCTATTCAGTTAATTATAGTAAAAAAAAAAAAATATTCGTGAGCATGCACGTAACGTGTGCGTAAGCGAACACGCTTGCTTGATATACTTACTTCCGGGTTTTGCAAACGAAGTATGGTATCATCTAAAGCCTAAACTACATCTCCCCCCAAAAAACTAACACTATTTGAGTACATATTATTTAGAACATGTAAAAAAGAAAAAAAATCCAAAGTTCTTTATTTTTTCCTGTGAACAGTGAGATGTATCTATATTTTTTTAATTATATATAGCGATAATGAATGAAGAAATAATAAATATTTTGAAACGCTTTCTTTTGTTATTTTTTATTTAATTTAATTTCTTATGCTGTTATGTAAACATTGAACAAATACCAAAGAGGTATTGGCAGTTCTACTTTTTGAATGATCCTAAAATGTTTACAATTTTCAAGTGTTACACTATTGAAATAATTTAACACTTCATAGTTAAAAATAAATAAAGGAAATTTCCATCATTTCTAAAATTTAGCATGAAAGAAAAACGGATACCGCTATTTACCGAAATACAAAATAATACAAAAATATTTAGAAAAATACTCTAAAACACGAAATACCACTGAAAAGACAACGAAAGTAGACGAAATACCTTTCTGAAACCATTGAATTCTATTTAATTTAAATCAAGCCAGAAATAAAATTGATACTATTTCAGTTTGCGACGTTGATAGGTAATTTTACTAAGGATAATTTATTTTTATCTGGCACAAGAACACAGGTGTCAGTCATTCAAGATAAAGATGAATGAAACAGACTGAAATGAAAAGACTGACATCGATAGCTAGATAGATAGATAGATTGTGAAACAGGCATAGACTGTCATAGATTCATGGTAAAATGAATAACATATAGAGTGAACAGATATACATCTGGATCAATAAGTTCGTATCCCAAATTTAACTAAATTTTAATCTGAAGTGTTCACCGTAATCTATATAATAAATGCGAATGTTACTGTGTCTCACATTTTTCAACTTTACTCCTACAGGCCGTAGCGCAACATATCATACCATTTTGGAATCAGGCCTAGAGCAAATTAAAAACGGTAGGATCCGGACCCGCAATCCTGAAATTTTGGATTCCCAAGTTTTCATTACTGAAATTGTTTTCGGCGATTTTTTTTTGTACGATACCAATTTTTATAACTTGGAAATCAATTTGTGAATAATCGAATTAATTGCGAAATCCAGCGAAAGTCACCTATGAAATAAAAATAATTGTTTGTACGAAAAGTAAGGGCCTACGTACATCAAAATTGTCTTTAAATTAAGTGACGGCAGAAGAATTATCGTTGAACTTTTAAAAGCTAAGATTAAATATTAATGCAATACTTAAATGCAGCGACCAGTTTTGAGTTCTTCTGTAGTTTATTGTTGCCTATCGTATCTACTCCTTCCTACCTATTTTGATGAAGGCTCAATTAAGACCGTTCCGCAGGAGCTAGGTAGATTAAATGCTGCCCAATAGGGCGACTTTTAAGCTAGTCTTCTATATATGCGACTAATATTTCCCACCGAGTTAAGTGTAGATGCCTTTTTCATCATTAGGCTATAAATTTATTGATTTAACTACGTACTTCAGGAAATTAAGTATAGATATTTATTCCTTCCTTTCAAAGAAGAAAAAGAAAAGAAATGACTAATATTTTTAAAACGTAATCAAAATTATATTAAAAAATGAAACTTTTAAACTCTTAGGATGAAAGAAGTATGTAACGTTTTTCTCTTATGGAGATAGATATCAGTCTTAATAATATCAGAGTGGGTAAATTTTGCATCGATTATACTCCTTTAAAATGATTTTAGATCAGACCCATATCAGACAGTGTCTGCTGTACGAATTCAAAAAGAGCTTGTCAGTAACGAAAGCAGCAAGAAATATTCGTTCTGTTTATGAAAATGGAGCTTTATGCGTCCGGAATTGCTGATGTTGGTTTAGTCATTTTCAATCGGGAAATTTTTCTCAAAGATTATTGATTCTCAATTTGAACGACGTTCTGTTCTGTCAATATTAAGTTTCTGTAAATCGTAGTTGAGGAAAAACGTACATTAAAATTAGCAAGACAGTTCAATACTAGTCACATTTTAATCATAAAACACCTGTTGCAGTACTGCTCTTAGACTAAAAACAGTGACAAACAAATTTTGCATATATAAATGATGAGTGTAGCTGTAAGGAAATTAAATAAATTTCAACAAGGCGATATTTTCATGTGTTTTTATATAACAGAGTAACAAATGAGAGAAAATTCACTAGTATGCATGCAAAAGAAAGAATACATTCAAACTTAACAATTATGCGCATGTGTGTGAAAGTTCAGTCACAAAGAGGAAACATATCCACATGCTTGGGACAAGATCCCGGTGGACTGGGAGGAAAAGAGAGAAAAATTGAAGAAAACAAGTGTCCTGTTTTTATAGGTGCTTAACGCCCTCTAACGGCGTTTTGCCGAAGCCAAGTGGAAGTAACCCACACAACTTAATGAACTTGCAAACGTGTGCAATCTTGGTCATTGGGTTCCTCACCTGTCAGTTCGGCTTAATCAAAGAGTTGCCCTCTACTCCAAGCCTTTCCCGGGTAGAATCGTCAACAGTGATGTAAAGTGGTTTCCCTATAATCATATCCAACAAAAACGTTCAAGAGATTAGCGTCAGAACTTGGAAACAATATATTAGGGGTAACACGATCGCGAAAATTCTTGACCAACTTGGTCTTACTGGAACTCGGACGGCCACGCCTTTGATCCAGGGCTTGACCACCGTTTCCATCAGTTTGTTGTAAGCAGTGACATTGACTCCGAGATACAATAGGAAAAAGTGGGGCGACATGACATGGTCCTCTTTGTTTACGATCCCCATGACCAACACAGACGAGGTGTATATCATTGGGGGTAGTTCCATGTTATACGCGTATAGAAACCTGTCGCTTCTCCGGATCATCTGGTTATTTTCAAGGAGGTATCTAGCTTCGAGTCGCTGTGGTTTCATGTTCCATGACAAATTGAAAACTGTCATGTTAATGTCCTCAATATGCCTGAAAGAGAGGTGAGAATGTTAGAATTTGGTACATGACGCGTAATATTACATTTAGCCATCTTCCATTTATGGCCACCTCAAGTGTGTAGTCTAAAATGTGTATTCGCAAATAATAGGGCGAATCTGTCTGTCTGTCTGTCTGTCTGTCTCTCTCTCTCTCTCTCTCTCTATATATATATATATATATATATATATATATACAACAATCCTTTAAACATGTCCTATTAGAACGAACAATGTCTTCTAAGCTTTTGGTAAGGTTTCTCCTGGTGGCGAATAAGTTGTTCTCAAACGCACACACGTATACATACATACATACATACATACATTATATATATATATATATATATATATATATATATATATATATATATATATATATATATATATATTGTGTATTTGGGCAGTAATCCCGCTTTTATAAAGGTTCCGTTGAAGACCACTGACAAGGCACTGCGATTAAGCTTTTTATTATAGTTTTCTTGTGCTCGTATAAGTAATTTTTGGACACAAGCGCTCGAATTCACATGCCATTTGGATAATTTCATAAATCTCTCTGTTCAAAAAGGAAATCACTTGTACAAATGCAAGAAAAATATAATAAAAAGCTTAATCACACTGCTTTGTTAGTCGTCTTCACTAAAACCTCTCTCTATATACATATACATGATGATTGTCACTTCTTTGCAGAAGAAGACCATCTCTTTTGTGTGCGTGTGTTTTTCATTCAGAATTGTATTATTTCCATCCTTGGCCCGTAAGTGATTCTTAAGGCCAGCTTCACTTTTACAACCTCTCTTACACACGTGACAAACATAAATTTTGTCTGTGTTGCCTATGTTGGAAACTTGCCTGTCACTGTACACAATCATATGATGTTTGAGTCTCACAACATCTTGTCACAAAACTCATACAAATAACCTGAATGTCTTTCTGGTAGGGTTGCATTCACTGGGGTTTGCGCCCGAAATCTCTCTCATATGATTGGTTAAACCAGCCGCCCAAAGGGTGAATTTTCCACAAATACTAAATGTGTTGGTGTCCTAATAGCTCTGGGACAGATTCTATTTTTCCCTTCCCAATGACGAGCCTTTTGTTGAAATGTTCACTTCTCTTGTTACAGCGTTCCCAAATCAGCCTTCTCCACCCCGATCTATCTCCAGCAACAGTTTCTCAGTCTTCATCATTAGCACAAAGAGTCTTTAGGTTACATTTAACTCCATCCTTGAAACGTTTTATTTTGGCTTATGAGCGGGTTGATTACTTTGTACCAGCTCACCATAAAAAAAGTATTTTGGGCAATCTGCCATCCTCTATACATATATATGTTAGATGATTTATTCATCGCATTTCATTACAGAGAAGTTTCTCTATGCTAGTTATTATTGTGCGCTGAAGGACTTTTGTGTCTGGTGTACAAGACTGCCAATTGATGTCCAACATTCGTCTCAGGCACTGCTGGTGAAAACGTTCTAAGATTTTAATGTACTTCGATAGATGGTCCACGCTTCAGAACAGGAGTCACCAAACTTTTTTCACGGAGGGACAGATAATTGAGAGAATGACGAGCGCGGGCCGAGTAACCATTTTGTTCAATACAATACACTGAATACACAAGGAATAAAGACAACAAACATATTTATTTAATAAAAAGTTATCTAAGAAGGCGACAATAGTAATAAAATAGTTATATCACACCTCCGAATCTCACAAACTAAGCAGCACAAAAGGTTAGTGAGGTTTGTGAAACTGGCGTTTACCTTTTAAGATATAATTAATATTTGTTTTGGTATTGCTGCATCCAACCAAGAGAAATGCTTTAAAATGTTCATCAATCAACCTCGTTACATGTGTTGACTTTACATACTTTAGATTTTATAATATGTTCAGGCAAAATATATGACATAATTAGCTGAAGTCAATTATTTTTATATACGGCACTCTTCAAAGTCGAAGGTGGACGATTTTAACATAGAAGACATATAAATCAATTGAGGTCTAGATATGCACAGAATAATCACCCGTAACAATTTAATTCAGCGATGGACATACTTTACGATACATTTGAAGTAACTATTCCTAAAACTAATATTACAGTACAACGCCAGGGTAAGCTAAAACGTATTCCGACTGAAACGTGGAAAGTGAACCCAAGTCGGAAAAAGTATCGACTAAAGAAAGTGAATATCTAAAAGTGGGTATTGTGGAGATGAACACACCTCTCTAGAATATTTACTGACGCCGAGAATCGCCAGGAGAAAGAGCGAGCCTTATATCCTTACTACAGAATTCAGTAAGACTACGTCGACTCCAAGCGAAATTATATTTCATGATTGTTTAATCTTCATTCAGGGAAATGATGATATAGCATAATATAAACATTTTGACGGTAACATTTTGTTTTTATCAAGTTTGAGGCCTTTTTTCATCACGCTATGCTGTTTTTTCAACGAATTAATGAAGGTACAGATATTAACAGAGTAGTCATTATGTTATGTTTTTAATCAGATATACACACAGTGCCAGATTTACCATTGTGCTTTGTTGTGCTAGAGCACAGGGCCCCGTTGGCCAGGGTAGGGGATTGCATTTCATCTTTCTTCCATGCCTTTGTAGGCATATCGGGCTTACCTCCTTCAAGGGCCATCATAACTTAACTAGCACAGAGCCTCATTTGTCCTAAATCCGGCGTTGTATACACTAATGCTTTTAGTAGGTATTTTCTTTCTGTAGTTCCCTAAAACCTGCAGTCGATTTTCATACTTTGGAACTGTCTTTTCGAAGAGGTAAACAAATGTGCCGTCTCGAATATTCAGATCATTAAGTTTTAATCATGTCAAAGACGAGAATAGAAAATGATTTGTTAAAAAAAAAACAAAAAAAAAAAACAGAAAAAAATCTGCATTCCGTTAATACCAAAAATTTACCAATCTGAATAACTTTTTATTTATTTATCTGACGTTTAAAAATCAGTCAATGCTTCGCAACATACTGAAGATTAGTTTTTTAACATCTCATATCTGTAAAGTTAAAACCTGTCATAGATATTCCACAGATATATTTTAGGTGTTCATCTTCATCTTTCCTTTGAGGACGTATGATTCAAATTGATTTCTCTCGTTTTTTTTCTTTTCCATTTTAAATAAAAATTCCATTCAATTCACTATATAAATAATATAAAATATCAAGCACTAGTTTCCGTCACGAAATTACCAGTTGTGGAAAAGGAGATATAATTAGTTACGATAGTTAATAGGAGGCACGGTGGAGTAATTGAGTATTGGATAGCGGCTCGGATTGAGGAATCAGAGAGCCGAGATCGAATTCCAGTCGGATCCATTACATTCACTTACGTGCTAATACCCTTGGGAAAGGTATGAATCCTCTTCTTCTCCCCCCTGGGTAAATAACAGGATAACCTTGGTCTACTGCGGGAAAAAATCTACCTCGTCTGTTATGTGTCGAAAGATACATGATCACCTAAGCGTGTATCATAACTGACTAAGTTAATAGATGTCGAGAAGAGATTAGAGAAGAGTTTCTTGTTGGTTTGGAAATTATCAGCTTAGCGTGCTGTATCCCAAAAGATAAATGGTTGTTAGAGACTAAGTGACGTGGAGGGAAACAAGACACGTCTTGCCCTTACGCTTTGCGCCATTTTCTTTTATACTGCATTTTGGCAGCGTCATCTTTCGAGCGTTAGAAGATCCTTTGCAGACAAGTAAGGTAATCCTACAATCTTTTAAGATAGGATACTCTCAAAAAAGATACTCTCTCTCTCTCTCTTTCTCCCCCTCTCTCTCTGTAGTATTTAGGTAATCTCTCTAGGTATAAGAAAATACACTTATATGTGTATTTTAGTGTAAATAATGAGTTTAATGAAAACAGGTCCTTGTTGCCAAAGCGAACTCAGCTGAGTTTAAGAATTAATATTTAGATTTAAGACGTCGAATGGAAAATATCATTCACCAGAAGCATCGATATTGAAGTACTGTGTTAGTTTAGACCAAATGGGGAAGTCTTTGGCGGATAAAGAGGGAATCAATATGGAGCATCGAAGCGGAAGTTCGCAGAATATAAAATATACTCGGCACTAGAAACAGTGGAAAATGTTTTGGCATTTTTATGTTATTGATATTTACTATGTTTAGCTTAGCACCGTAAAAGATTAAAGAAACAAAATAAAGGTAGGAGGATTTTGGTACGTTAATTCCAAGTGGGGGTGGGGGGATCTACTTGTTTAGAAAATCAGCATTTGAAATTTTGCGCTCAAACACTGATCGCTAGAGTTGGTGCAGAATACACAAATATTTTGCTGGTTATATAGCAATTACTACGTGTAATCTGTCGAAAGGTGGTAAGTGTGGTTCATCTAGAGAGAATTATCCAGTACCTGATTAACTTGCTCTCCTTGTCGAGATGCTCATTGTATGTTGCTGTAGATGTGCAGGTAGCGTAGCGGTTATTGGCATGAAAAATAGAATCAGCCAGCCGAGTTCAAATCCCAACCGAGATTGTTGTGTTCACTTCACACTAACGGTTTTGGGAAATGCATGAGTCCTTTTCTTAACCTCCCTTCCCTAACTATTGGCTAAATAGTCGGGTAGATTGGGTTCTTTTGGGAGGATAACCGGTCTAAGAGAAAGAATGGATTCAGACCGTGGAGAAGGATATGGGAAACTGTTCTGACATTTTTCTTTTCATAGCATTAGGGTCTCTATCGTAAAAAAATATCCAATAAACTCTACAATGGCTGCAATCATTGTCAAGAGCTGGTTTAATCCACTCTGGACGAATAACGAGACAATGTTGTAGCTGTTATTTACTAAGCACAGTAAGAGAGGATTCAAAATCGAACAATACACTACACTAGCGAATTGGTTCGCGAGGCTTGCTTACTAACAATCATATTACTTAGTTTCTCCCTTTATTGCTGCACCACTCAGTGTAGCTAAGCAATTGTCAATACCCGTTCAATGGATATCCGGCGTGCAGTACTGTTCGTGACAATGTGAAAAAACATTGCATTTAGGCCTATTTACTTTTCTTATCCTTTTGCGTATTTATTTAGTAAATTAAAAAAAAATACTGGTGTAAAACAAAACTATAAACCATTACCTATTTTTTCGGAAAGTTTCGCCAGTGAAGTTCAACAGCTTAAAAAAATACGACACGCTTTTAATGGCACAGAAAGTAAATGAAATAAAATCAGTCAGTCAGTCAATCAGTCAGTCTCTCTCTCTCTCTCTTTCTTTCTCTCTCTCTCTCACTCATTCACTCACTCACTCATATGTGGCATCATGGTAAGAGCTGAGTTTCAAATCATGACAAAAGAGAACATTTCTTTTTAGCAGCCCAACCACTCCGTCTCCACGCGGAGATATTTTTTTTAGCATCTTAAATTTTACTTACTTGAGCGATATATAGAACCAGCTACTCCTGCGGACCATTGCTAATGTAGTGACTTCGATCTTCATTATTGTGGCCTAGTGCCAAACTAAGATAATATAGATTAATAATGACCTACTTTGATTTTTTTACCGTAAACTGGAAGTAGATTATTGTTAATGAGTTAAATTCACATTGGATGCCCTCCTATTGTAGCCTTGTGTCAGACTAAACTAAGTTTAGTAAATACCGATTGGGCTTGATCAAATATGATACATGGCAACAATTACAGAGAACCTACTATGTATTAGATAGCATGAGGTACCTCTTATTTCAAGAGTGAATATTCTGGATATATTGGGAGTAAAGATAAAATAATGACTTATGGAAGATCCTCGCTTTCACGTAAAGTAAAGGGTTGTTTTAATTATTTTTGTGGGTGGAAAGTGCGTTCACTATGTCATCAGATACGACATTTGAATTTTACAATCAGATTCCTACATTTTTTTAAATCTTAAATTTTGTGCAAGTTAAACACATAGAGGCTCCCAGCCAAATATAACAACTGATGTATTTTGATTGGTTGTAAAATATTAATTAGGTGTCGTCAACTACGTCCGAAGGTACCGACTCAAATTTTGACCTCTAGTTGACGCCATAAAATGTAAACATGTTTACGAGCCTCCCACGTGACCAAGAGAACTAATAAAAACGAAACTTCGACGCGACTTAGTCAGTGGGCACTTAAAATATTGAAACCAATTCACTTGACTTCATTGGAAATCAACACAGCAAAGGAGACTAACTTTATCTTCAATACAACAACAAACTTTGTCAACCATCTCCAGGCTTAACGCTCACTCCCACAAAATATTCCATTCCACAAGAATCTCTGGTTAATGAGCGATAACAATCAGTGAGCCAAGAACAATACTTTTTTTCTATTTAATACAAAAAAAAAAAAAAAACATCTGTTTAATTTTCCTATAAAAACAAATATAGCTAACTAAACCTTGTCATTTTCACACATACAGTACAGTAGCTCAAATTCTTTCAGTAACACACACACACACCAAAGAACTCTATTGTGTTTATCAACTTTTGCACTATATATTATGTATTTGATGTCTTTATAAAAATATATTTATTGTTGAACAAATTCACATTTTCTTCTACTTGATTATTTCTCTTGTTGTTGTCTTTGTTACATTTGATATTGTAAAAATTGTAGAGTGTCAGTTTTTATTTCTATTTATAACCAATACAAATTGGCTGACCCACTATAAATTGATGACCCTGAAGTTCAAATGTGCAAAGTAATATTTTAAAACAGCATTTTATAAGAGAAATACTTTAGTTGTCACGTTTTAAACGAAAGCAATGGAAAATTCTACCAGCGAACATATTGAAGCGGCAATTTCCATCAGTCTACAGACGTACAACCACACCAACGTTCAAGTGTGGTTTTAGCAGTTAAACGCAATTTTTAATGCAAGAAAGGTCACGTCTCAACATGCCCGTTACGCTTTTGTAGTTGAGAAACTTCGCTCAGATGTAGCATTAGAGGTAGCAGACCTCCTCAGTGAAGTGCCGGCGGAGAAACCGTATGATACTTTGAAAGATGCTATACTATACCGCACGGGCGAATCAGAGGAACGTCGGTTGCACGATTTGTTTAACAACCTTCATTTGGGACACTATAAACCTTCCCAATTGCTTAGAAAGATGAAAGCTTTACTAGGTGACAATACCATGTCTGACACAGTCCTCCGTAAACTATGGATGGATAAACTGAGCCCACAAACATCACAAATATTAGTGTCACTCCCGGACGATTTGGACCTACAGCGATTGGCAGAAATCGCGGACAAAATATATGAGAATAAACCTCCGGGAAATGCTTCTGCGACACCACTACAACCTATTGTCTCTTCAGTCCGTGACTCACAAGAGTTATTGAAAATTAAAGATTGTATAGCCGAGCTTACCTCACAGTTACAAGCTCTACAAACCGCTATGCATCAGCAAAATCGCACACCCAACAATTTCACTAGTCGACCACGTCCATCACATCATACTAGGCGAAGATCACGTTCCACATCCAGAAGCAGGCCTATATTTAATACCTGTTGGTATCATTTTAAATATGGAAAACAAGCGCGGCATTGTACGAAACCGTGTAACTTCGACATAAACGCAGCTAAGGATAACAACACACAGCAGTCGGGAAACGACTATCCCGGCAACAAGTAGAGACGTTTGCTGCCGGAGGGATGCCAAAAAGTCGTCTCTTTACATCCGAGATGAGAACTCCGGCTACTTGTTTTAGTGGACACAAATTAGTGTAATACCAGCCAAGCCTAATATGTTGACTAGAAAGACAAATTATACGTTACAAGCGGCGAATTGATCTTCAATCCAGACATATGGTGAAACCTCTTTAACCCTAAATCTGGCATTTAGGCGATCTTTTCCGTGGGTATTTACGATAGCCCAAGTTCGAACCCCAATCCTAGGAGCGGATTTCCTCGCCCACTTTAACTTGTCCGTTAATATGTCTTCCCTTTCTTTGGAGGATAAAACGACCAACATTACAAGGAAAGGAGTTACATTTATTTATACGAGCACATGTATCAGCGCAACTCTACCTGAAGCCAACGGAATGCAGGATCTGTTACAAAAATATTCTCAAATTACAACACCATTCCGGTATACAGAAACCGTTCGTCACAATGCTGAGCACCACATTGATACTACGAGCCCACCCACGCATTCATCTCCACGGCGATTGAGGCCTGATAAATATAAACTGGCGGTATAATTAGACCTTCTTCGAGTCCTTACTCATCTCCTTTTCATATGGTTCCAAAACCGGACTCAGGAGCTTGGAGACCTTGTGGCGACTTCCGGAAGCTGAATGCTACTACAATTCCGGATAAATACCCCATCCCGCACTTGCACGATTTCGGAGTGGGTTTGCAGGGCGCCACAGTCTTCACCAAACTTGATCTGGTGAAAGCATTCCACCAGATACCAGTGGCCAAGGAAGACATCCATAAAACAGCAATAACTACTCCTTTTGGCTTATACGAATTTGTGAGAATGCCATTTGGTTTAAGGAACGCTGCACAATCTTTCCAACGGCTTATAGACGAAGTGCTGAGAGGTTTACCTTTCACTTTTGCCTATATTGATGACGTCCTGATCGCCAGTAGAAACAAGACTGAACATCGTCACCACGTTGAACAAGTTTTCCAGCGTCTACAGCATTTTTGGCCTTAAGATTAACGCAGAGAAATGTATTTTTGCTGTGCCCTCGCTTAAATTTTTTGGGACACGTCATTGACGAAAAGGGAATAACGCCCTTACCTGAGAAAATAGAATCTATTTCAAATTTCTCACAACCAACTTCACTCCGGCAGTTACGCCGATTCTTAGGCCTCATTAATTACTACCGGAGGTTCATTCCTGGTTGTTCCCAGATTCTGATTCCCCTCACAGATTTACTGCAACAACAGCGTCAGAAGAACTCAAAGATTACCTTGGAAGGCGAATCACTGACTGCTTTTCACAGAGCCAAAGACGCCCTTGCCAACTTTACGAAGTTATCATATATAACCGATGATGACTCAATGATCACACTGACAACAGGCGCATTAGGCGACTCCATAGGGGCTGTGCTTCACCAGGAACAGGAGATGCTAAAAAACTATTTCGTTCTTTTCAGTCAAGCTAAACTCATCTCAGAAAAAGTACAGCGTATTTTCAAGGGAATTACTGGCAATATACTTGGCAATCCGTCATTTCCGTCATCTTTGAAGGACGGAATTTTGTGGTCTATACAGATCATAAACCATTAATTTATGCTCTGCATGCCAAGTCGGACAAATATACCCCAAGGGATATCCGACAATTGGATTATATTTCCCAATATACGTCGGATATCCGCTATGTAAAAGGAGCTGACAATATAGTAGCTGATACCCTATCGCGATCAACGATACAGTCAATTGACGCACAGACCTTGAATTTCGACTCCTTAGCGGAAGAACAAAAGACTGACACCTGACACTACTTTGGAATCAGTAAAAGAAAAAACGTCACTACAGTTAAAGCAACACCCTGTGCCATTTGTAAACACTACTGTCTATTGTGATGTAAGCACAGGATACTCTAGGCCCTATGTACCACCTTCTTTGCGAAAAAAAGTATTCGAACATTTCCATTCTCTGTCGCACCCTGGTCGAAGAGCGACTACTAAGATGATTAGTGATCGTTTCGTTTGGCCAAAAATGTCCAGTGACATAAAACACTGGACACAGACTTGTTTAAAATGCCAGCAAACTAAAATACAACGGCATACCAAGTCTCCGCCTGGTACATTCTCTAAGCCTGATGGTAGGTTCACCCACATTCACGTTGACTTAGTGGGCCCTTTGCCCGACATTGATGGGTACCAATACTTATTAACAATAATCGATCGTTTCACTCGTTGGCCTGTAGCCGTTCCTTTAAAAAGTATTTCAGCGGAAACGATTTCCAGGTGCATTCTTAGAGAGTTGATCTCTATCTTTGGTTGTCCTTCAATAATAACCACTGATAGAGGTTCCCAGTTCCAGTCAGTCCTTTTCAATGAATTTATAACCTTGTTAGGCGTAAAGCACATTTCTACAACCGCCTACCATCCATGTTCAAACGGCCTTGTGGAACGATTTCATAGGCAACTTAAGGCAGCATTAGCAGCAAGTGATGACTCCAGGACTTGGCTGGAAAACCTTCCACTGATTTTACTGTCATTAAGAAATGTAGTCAAAGAGGACTTAGGATGCACTACAGCAGAACTAGTTTTTGGGAGTACGCTAACACCCCTGGACAGTTCGTGGAAAAGCATACCCTTCCAGACCGACTACCTATTTCGTCCAGGATTTTAAACAAAAATGGAAAACCTAGCTTTTACTCCAACGCGTGCCCAAACAAGGGAGTTCTTTATGCCGAAAAATTTAGACAGTTGTGATTACGTCTTCCTGCGAAAAGATGCAGTTAGAAAACCCTTAACCCCCACGTATTCTGCTCCACATAAAGTAATTAATAGAACGTCCAAGCATTTTACTTTACTTTTGCACGGAAGGCCTAACACAGTGTCAGTTGACCGGTTGAAACCGGCTTACATCATTTATCTCATAAATCGCTTCCTGACCCTGAGCTAACATCTTCGACCCAGCCAGCGCAGCTTGCACCTTCAGTATCACCCGCGGAAGTTACTACTAAGTCTGGCAGACATGTTCATTGGCCTAGTAGATCTAAAACGTATATTACATATTGAGAAAATTTTCTCTCAAAAACTTTCACAATCTGCGGGGGGGGGGTTTATTGTAGAATCAGATTCCTACATTTTTTTAAATCTTAAATTTTGTGCAAGTTAAACACATAGAGGCTCCAAGCCAAATATAACAACTGATGTATTTTGATTGGTTGTAAATTAGTAATTAGGTGTCGTCAACTACGTCCGAAGGTACCGACCCAAATTTTGACCTCTAGTTGACGCCATAAAATGTAAACATGTTTACGAGCCTCCCACGTGACCAAGAGAACTAATAAAAACGAAACTTCGACGCGACTTAGTCAGTGGGCACTTAAAATATTGAAACCAATTCACTTGACTTCATTGGAAATCAACACAGCAAAGGAGACGAACTTTATCTTCAATACAACAACAAACTTTGTCAACCATCTCCAGGCTTAACGCTCACTCCCACAAAATATTCCATTCCACAAGAATCTCTGGTTAATGAGCGATAACAATCAGTGAGCCAAGAACAATACTTTTTTTTCTATTTAATACAAAAAAAAAAAAACATCTGTTTAATTTTCCTATAAAAACAAATATAGCTAACTAAACCTTGTCATTTTCACACATACAGTACAGTAGCTCAAATTCTTTCAGTAACACACACACACAAAAAGAACTCTATTGTGTTTATCAACTTTTGCACTATATATTATGTATTTGATGTCTTTATAAAAATATATTTATTGTTGAACAAATTCACATTTTCTTCTACTTGATTATTTCTCTTGTTGTTGTCTTTGTTACATTTGATATTGTAAAAATTGTAGAGTGTCAGTTTTTATTTCTATTTATAACCAATACAAATTGGCTGACCCACTATAAATTGATGACCCCGAAGTTCAAATGTGCAAAGTAATATTTTAAAAACAGCATTTTATAAGAGAAATACTTTAGTTGTCACGTTTTAAACGAAAGCAATGGAAAATTCTACCAGCGAACATATTGAAGCGGCAATTTCCATCAGTCTACAGACGTACAACCACACCAACGTTCAAGTGTGGTTTTAGCAGTTAAACGCAATTTTTAATGCAAGAAAGGTCACGTCTCAACATGCCCGTTACGCTTTTGTAGTTGAGAAACTTCGCTCAGATGTAGCATTAGAGGTAGCAGACCTCCTCAGTGAAGTGCCGGCGGAGAAACCGTATGATACTTTGAAAGATGCTATACTATACCGCACGGGCGAATCAGAGGAACGTCGGTTGCACGATTTGTTTAACAACCTTCATTTGGGACACTATAAACCTTCCCAATTGCTTAGAAAGATGAAAGCTTTACTAGGTGACAATACCATGTCTGACACAGTCCTCCGTAAACTATGGATGGATAAACTGAGCCCACAAACATCACAAATATTAGTGTCACTCCCGGACGATTTGGACCTACAGCGATTGGCAGAAATCGCGGACAAAATATATGAGAATAAACCTCCGGGAAATGCTTCTGCGACACCACTACAACCTATTGTCTCTTCAGTCCGTGACTCACAAGAGTTATTGAAAATTAAAGATTGTATAGCCGAGCTTACCTCACAGTTACAAGCTCTACAAACCGCTATGCATCAGCAAAATCGCACACCCAACAATTTCACTAGTCGACCACGTCCATCACATCATACTAGGCGAAGATCACGTTCCACATCCAGAAGCAGGCCTATATTTAATACCTGTTGGTATCATTTTAAATATGGACAACAAGCGCGGCATTGTACGAAACCGTGTAACTTCGACATAAACGCAGCTAAGGATAACAACACACAGCAGTCGGGGAAACGACTATCCCGGCAACAAGTAGAGACGTTTGCTGCCGGAGGATGCCAAAAGTCGTCTCTTTTACATCCGAGATGAGAACTCCGGCTACTTGTTTTAGTGGACACAAATTAGTGTAATACCAGCCAAGCCCTAATATGTTGACTAGAAAGACAAATTATACGTTACAAGCGGCGAATGGATCTTCAATCCAGACATATGGTGAAACCTCTTTAACCCTAAATCTGGCATTTAGGCGATCTTTTCCGTGGGTATTTACGATAGCCCAAGTTCGAACCCCAATCCTAGGAGCGGATTTCCTCGCCCACTTTAACTTGTCCGTTAATATGTCTTCCCTTTCTTTGGAGGATAAAACGACCAACATTACAAGGAAAGGAGTTACATTTATTTATACGAGCACATGTATCAGCACAACTCTACCTGAAGCCAACGGAATGCAGGATCTGTTACAAAAATATTCTCAAATTACAACACCATTCCGGTATACAGAAACCGTTCGTCACAATGCTGAGCACCACATTGATACTACGAGCCCACCCACGCATTCATCTCCACGGCGATTGAGGCCTGATAAATATAAACTGGCGGTATAATTAGACCTTCTTCGAGTCCTTACTCATCTCCTTTTCATATGGTTCCAAAACCGGACTCAGGAGCTTGGAGACCTTGTGGCGACTTCCGGAAGCTGAATGCTACTACAATTCCGGATAAATACCCCATCCCGCACTTGCACGATTTCGGAGTGGGTTTGCAGGGCGCCACAGTCTTCACCAAACTTGATCTGGTGAAAGCATTCCACCAGATACCAGTGGCCAAGGAAGACATCCATAAAACAGCAATAACTACTCCTTTTGGCTTATACGAATTTGTGAGAATGCCATTTGGTTTAAGGAACGCTGCACAATCTTTCCAACGGCTTATAGACGAAGTGCTGAGAGGTTTACCTTTCACTTTTGCCTATATTGATGACGTCCTGATCGCCAGTAGAAACAAGACTGAACATCGTCACCACGTTGAACAAGTTTTCCAGCGTCTACAGCATTTTTGGCCTTAAGATTAACGCAGAGAAATGAATTTTTGCTGTGCCCTCGCTTAAATTTTTGGGACACGTCATTGACGAAAAGGGAATAACGCCCTTACCTGAGAAAATAGAATCTATTTCAAATTTCTCACAACCAACTTCACTCCGGCAGTTACGCCGATTCTTAGGCCTCATTAATTACTACCGGAGGTTCATTCCTGGTTGTTCCCAGATTCTGATTCCCCTCACAGATTTACTGCAACAACAGCGTCAGAAGAACTCAAAGATTACCTTGGAAGGCGAATCACTGACTGCTTTTCACAGAGCCAAAGACGCCCTTGCCAACTTTACGAAGTTATCATATATAACCGATGATGACTCAATGATCACACTGACAACAGGCGCATTAGGCGACTCCATAGGGGCTGTGCTTCACCAGGAACAGGGAGATGCTAAAAAAACTATTTCGTTCTTTTCAGTCAAGCTAAACTCATCTCAGAAAAAGTACAGCGTATTTTCAAGGGAATTACTGGCAATATACTTGGCAATCCGTCATTTCCGTCATCTTTTGGAAGGACGGAATTTTGTGGTCTATACAGATCATAAACCATTAATTTATGCTCTGCATGCCAAGTCGGACAAATATACCCCAAGGGATATCCGACAATTGGATTATATTTCCCAATATACGTCGGATATCCGCTATGTAAAAGGAGCTGACAATATAGTAGCTGATACCCTATCGCGATCAACGATACAGTCAATTGACGCACAGACCTTGAATTTCGACTCCTTAGCGGAAGAACAAAAGACTGACACCTGACACTACTTTGGAATCAGTAAAAGAAAAAACGTCACTACAGTTAAAGCAACACCCTGTGCCATTTGTAAACACTACTGTCTATTGTGATGTAAGCACAGGATACTCTAGGCCCTATGTACCACCTTCTTTGCGAAAAAAAAAAGTATTCGAACATTTCCATTCTCTGTCGCACCCTGGTCGAAGAGCGACTACTAAGATGATTAGTGATCGTTTCGTTTGGCCAAAAATGTCCAGTGACATAAAACACTGGACACAGACTTGTTTAAAATGCCAGCAAACTAAAATACAACGGCATACCAAGTCTCCGCCTGGTACATTCTCTAAGCCTGATGGTAGGTTCACCCACATTCACGTTGACTTAGTGGGCCCTTTGCCCGACATTGATGGGTACCAATACTTATTAACAATAATCGATCGTTTCACTCGTTGGCCTGTAGCCGTTCCTTTAAAAAGTATTTCAGCGGAAACGATTTCCAGGTGCATTCTTAGAGAGTTGATCTCTATCTTTGGTTGTCCTTCAATAATAACCACTGATAGAGGTTCCCAGTTCCAGTCAGTCCTTTTCAATGAATTTATAACCTTGTTAGGCGTAAAGCACATTTCTACAACCGCCTACCATCCATGTTCAAACGGCCTTGTGGAACGATTTCATAGGCAACTTAAGGCAGCATTAGCAGCAAGTGATGACTCCAGGACTTGGCTGGAAAACCTTCCACTGATTTTACTGTCATTAAGAAATGTAGTCAAAGAGGACTTAGGATGCACTACAGCAGAACTAGTTTTTGGGAGTACGCTAACACTCCCTGGACAGTTCGTGGAAAAGCATACTCCTTCCAGACCGACTACCTATTTCGTCCAGGATTTTAAACAAAAAATGGAAAACCTAGCTTTTACTCCAACGCGTGCCCAAACAAGGGAGTTCTTTATGCCGAAAAATTTAGACAGTTGTGATTACGTCTTCCTGCGAAAAGATGCAGTTAGAAAACCCTTAACCCCCACGTATTCTGCTCCACATAAAGTAATTAATAGAACGTCCAAGCATTTTACTTTACTTTTGCACGGAAGGCCTAACACAGTGTCAGTTGACCGGTTGAAACCGGCTTACATCATTTATCTCATAAATCGCTTCCTGACCCTGAGCTGACATCTTCGACCCAGCCAGCGCAGCTTGCACCTTCAGTATCACCCGCGGAAGTTACTACTAAGTCTGGCAGACATGTTCATTGGCCTAGTAGATCTAAAACGTATATTACATATTGAGAAAATTTTCTCTCAAAACTTTTCACAATCTGCGGGGGGTTTATTGTAGAATCAGATTCCTACATTTTTTTAAATCTTAAATTTTGTGCAAGTTAAACACATAGAGGCTCCAAGCCAAATATAACAACTGATGTATTTTGATTGGTTGTAAATTAGTAATTAGGTGTCGTCAACTACGTCCGAAGGTACCGACCCAAATTTTGACCTCTAGTTGACGCCATAAAATGTAAACATGTTTACGAGCCTCCCACGTGACCAAGAGAACTAATAAAAACGAAACTTCGACGCGACTTAGTCAGTGGGCACTTAAAATATTGAAACCAATTCACTTGACTTCATTGGAAATCAACACAGCAAAGGAGACTAACTTTATCTTCAATACAACAACAAACTTTGTCAACCATCTCCAGGCTTAACGCTCACTCCCCACAAAATATTCCATTCCACAAGAATCTCTGGTTAATGAGCGATAACAATCAGTGAGCCAAGAACAATACTTTTTTTCTATTTAATACAAAAAAAAAAAAACATCTGTTTAATTTTCCTATAAAACAAATATAGCTAACTAAACCTTGTCATTTTCACACATACAGTACAGTAGCTCAAATTCTTTCAGTAACACACACACACACCAAAGAACTCTATTGTGTTTATCAACTTTTGCACTATATATTATGTATTTGATGTCTTTATAAAAATATATTTATTGTTGAACAAATTCACATTTTCTTCTACTTGATTATTTCTCTTGTTGTTGTCTTTGTTACATTTGATATTGTAAAAATTGTAGAGTGTCAGTTTTTATTTCTATTTATAACCAATACAAATTGGCTGACCCACTATAAATTGATGACCCCGAAGTTCAAATGTGCAAAGTAATATTTTAAAAACAGCATTTTATAAGAGAAATACTTTAGTTGTCACGTTTTAAACGAAAGCAATGGAAAATTCTACCAGCGAACATATTGAAGCGGCAATTTCCATCAGTCTACAGACGTACAACCACACCAACGTTCAAGTGTGGTTTTAGCAGTTAAACGCAATTTTTAATGCAAGAAAGGTCACGTCTCAACATGCCCGTTACGCTTTTGTAGTTGAGAAACTTCGCTCAGATGTAGCATTAGAGGTAGCAGACCTCCTCAGTGAAGTGCCGGCGGAGAAACCGTATGATACTTTGAAAGATGCTATACTATACCGCACGGGCGAATCAGAGGAACGTCGGTTGCACGATTTGTTTAACAACCTTCATTTGGGACACTATAAACCTTCCCAATTGCTTAGAAAGATGAAAGCTTTACTAGGTGACAATACCATGTCTGACACAGTCCTCCGTAAACTATGGATGGATAAACTGAGCCCACAAACATCACAAATATTAGTGTCACTCCCGGACGATTTGGACCTACAGCGATTGGCAGAAATCGCGGACAAAATATATGAGAATAAACCTCCGGGAAATGCTTCTGCGACACCACTACAACCTATTGTCTCTTCAGTCCGTGACTCACAAGAGTTATTGAAAATTAAAGATTGTATAGCCGAGCTTACCTCACAGTTACAAGCTCTACAAACCGCTATGCATCAGCAAAATCGCACACCCAACAATTTCACTAGTCGACCACGTCCATCACATCATACTAGGCGAAGATCACGTTCCACATCCAGAAGCAGGCCTATATTTAATACCTGTTGGTATCATTTTAAATATGGACAACAAGCGCGGCATTGTACGAAACCGTGTAACTTCGACATAAACGCAGCTAAGGATAACAACACACAGCAGTCGGGAAACGACTATCCCGGCAACAAGTAGAGACGTTTGCTGCCGGAGGGATGCCAAAAAGTCGTCTCTTTTACATCCGAGATGAGAACTCCGGCTACTTGTTTTTAGTGGACACAAATTAGTGTAATACCAGCCAAGCCTAATATGTTGACTAGAAAGACAAATTATACGTTACAAGCGGCGAATGGATC